TTGTCGCATTATCCGTAAATGGAATGCTCTGCCCGCTCACGTGTTCCCTCCCTCTTACAACCTGGGATCCTTTAAAAGAGGCGTGAAGATGCAACATGCAGGCCGGCAGAGTGAGGATGGCTGGTGTGGCAGGTAGAACTGCTGTATCAGCTATCTTCGCGTCTGGACTTCACCTTCACTTAACATCAGGTGGGGTGGAGTCATTTATCGGACCTATCTATAAAATAAAAAAAAACCTTATAGAAGCGTCGCGTCGCTAAACATTAGAGAAAAAAGACAGGGCGCGGACCTAACGCTTTTTATTTTGTATGAAAATGGCAAAGTCCTCGCACCGTCTGCGCTTACGTTTATTTTGTGTGTCCCGCGCCTAACCTAACCTAACCTAACCTAACCAGAACCTAGTCCCTACATCGTATTGTCCTGGAAATTAATCCACCTACAGGAACATAACACCACCATACTAAAGTGTCATTTCACTGTGGTCTTTTATAAAGTGGTAAATAGTTAGTTTCCCTCAATGACGCTTTTTTTGAGCAATTGAGCGGTTAATCGCTATGTTTTAAATATATTGTCGTATTGTTTGCCAAACAACTCGTTATATGTTTTATTAATCTTTCCGCAGCATTAAGTATTGTCAATAAAACATTATGACATAAGTTTCCATTGACCGCACGTATTCAACATGCTGTGAATATCAAATAAGCCCCGGTTAAAATTAGTTGAGTTTCGCGCAACATCAATACACAGCAATGAAATCTATTTCAAGTAATTTACCAAATGTAGTTAGTTGCCTGATAAAGAGATCTACGAAATATCTCCACCTAACCTTATAAGGCAGTCGGTGTCTGATTAATAGAAACGATCGTTGGTGCCGTGTGCGTAACGATGAGCTTCTAACGTGTTGCGTAGGAGAGAAGAATCATCACAAGTTTCATTTATAAGATACACAGATTCCTTTATTCTCATTTGTTCGATTCATTAGTTCGATCGTCGAATTACTGAGATTTTATTGTTCTCATTTGTTCGACCTTCGTCAATATTGCATCCATAAACATTTATAAAAATCACTATTTAGAAAAAAGTACCAGGAAACCATACATAACTAAGAGGTTTTGGTAATGAAAATGGATAAATAAAGAAAATAAGTTCGACGACGCGGTCGAACAAATGAGAACAATAAAATCTCAGTAGTTCGATTATCGAACTGATGAGAGAGAAAAATCTCACTAGTTCGACGATCGAACTAATGAATCGAACAAATGAGAATAAAGGCACAGGTTGCCATCTTCTAAAATACAAAAGCTGGACTTAATCTTTGTCTAGACCGGACATTTGTCAGACCACACACCAACCGAAAAAGCCAATGATATGGCAACTCACACTCAGGTAAATTGTAATCTATTTAATTAAATTTTATACAAAATGTAAACAATGAACTGGTTGTTTTTTAAACGAATCACCTTGAACTATGTGTGCATCAGCAATCATCTCAATCAATCAATTGAATGTAAGAATGCTTTCTTAAAGTGGTATCCCTAATAAAGTGTCTCTTTCTCGCCAACTTTTATCAAACTTAAAGTAAAGAAAAGTTTACTAGAAAAAAAAATCCACGCGGACCAGGTAGCGGACGGCACTCGAATCCGCACCCTTCGCAATCCGGGCGAATGCACTGACCATTATGCTACCACGGCCCTATTGGCCGCGTCGAAATTTTCCTAGCCTTAAGCTGCAAGGGAGCGCCATCTCTTCGCATTGTAGGTAACCCACAATGTCAAATGAATACTTTTCAAGTATTAAACATTTGAAAGAAGAAATAGCAATTATAGTTATGTTTTTATTTATTTTTAAGCATTTAACTGCTTTCTAAAAATTTCGACGTGGCCAATAGGGCCGTGGTAGCATAATGGTCAGTGCATTCGCCCGGATTGCGAAGGGTGCGGGTTCGAGTCCCGTCCCGATTTAAACAAACTGTTATTTAAATTTCTGACTTCGGCAGTTACTATGGCTACTGATAATGTCATTACTTTCGTACGGAACGGACCAATTTTTTACGTTTAATGTGATTCATGCTGTTTTATTCCGAACGACAAAAAAGGACACCGAATTATCTGATGTGTGACGATGTTATTATTATAAAACTACTTGTTATTCCATATTCAATTGAAGGACTTAGATTAAACAAACATTACGAATAACATCCGAAACCTACATCCTTTACTCATGGCTGATAGTGATAAGCAATATGAAATTATCGATAGAGTTCTATCAAACTAAACCTATTATTGGCAATTTATATATTGCTGCGACACTTCATGAAATTACATACAGGGTGGTCCAAATCCTACTAAAAACTAAAGTTCCAACTTTCAAGCCTTTTTTGAGTAACTTTAACTGATTATTAATTAGTGCATTCGCCCGGATTGCGAAGGGTGCGGGTGAAGGGTTCGAGGCCCGTCTGCTGCCCTGGTCCACGTGGATTTTTTCTAGTTATATTTTCTTTAGAATTAAACATCAAGCAGTTACATGCTTTAAAATAATAAAAATTATATTTTTTTTTATTAAAACAACATTCAAGACAATTATGTCACAAAAAAGGACTGCAAAGTACCTACTACGAACAAAGATATGAATTTTTGAAACCTCGCTGGCAGAAATCATTAAAAATACACAAAAATACGAGCTCACAACGTAATTTCCACATGGGCGAGGCGGGGTGACATAAAAAAATTTACTGCTCGTCGTGTGACAAATAGACTCTTGGGTCAACCTTACGTCATCTAATTACCAACTTTAATTAAACGAAGGCATTAGCGTTGTGTCATGTTGTTACGCTTAACTGAATTGAGGATTATAATTCAATTTGGCTAATTGGCGGGCACCATTATTATTGAAATTAATGTTTTCATCCATTATAGTTTTGTTTCTTTTCTTTAGAAAACTTATTAATGCATCGTCTATGTCTATACAAAAATTAAGGAAATCGCTTTCCGCGTTTTTCTGTATACATATGCGGTAACTCCTAAATCATGCAACAGATTTTGATGCGGTAATTGCGGTCAATAACGGGGTCATTGTTTTTCATGTTTAAGCAGGCAAACGAGCTGGTAGGCCATCTCATGGTAAGTGGTGTCTGCCACCCATGGATATTTTCAGCCCCAAGGGTACCACTCGTGCATTACTAGCTCTGAAGGAAAAAAAAATACCCGCCTTTTTGGAGTTTACTCCTTAAGAATCGATTTGCATATATAAGGGGCCCGGTATGAGAAAAATGTGAGGAGTAAAATCTATCGATTAATGATCTCGTTGCGTTTTTGGTGTGCATCCTATGTCGCGCAACTTTGACAAACAAAGATGACGGATTGACATTAATAAAATTTTTAAAATCTGAACTGAATTTAGATATTGTTTCTGATAGAGCAATGGGGACAACGAGGTATGGTTCACGAACGTCCATGTGTCTTATTTTAGTTACCGTAAACCACTTGTCACTGTAATTAATAATGCAGACAATGTTGATTTAATTAATATTTAAAAAAAATATAATAGTCTGATATATTTATGCACATCTAAAATTGACTATTGTAAAAAGTTTAATGTAAAATATTTCGTCGATTAGTTATAATAAATGTATATGAAATGAATAAATATATATTTATATATGTATATTATTGAAAACCGCCATATCATAGCTATAAGGGAAAAGTGCTGAAGGAAGTTGGTTGCAGATCTTGCCGGTAGCCAAGATAAAAGAACGCGCGAATGGCATGGTGCTAGAAAACCATGCGTCCTGGTGGAAAGAGTAATGGCGGCGTCTTCTACACGCCTTCATAAAATCATGGAGGAAGGAATCGCTCGAATCGTAACAAGATAGCGCTACCGGCGCTGCACTCCTAAAGTATGGAAGCCTACATCGCGCAAGAGAAATTCGGAGGCTAACTCTTCATTTATGCAATGCCCGACCAACATCAGTCGGGCCGCGGCCTCCGAGCTAACATCACCCAGCTCGGTGGCAAATCTTCACCTTGTCCTTTCTTTCTTTTTTTTTTATTGATAGGTCCGACAAAGGACTCCACCCCACCTGATGTTAAGTGAAGGTAAAGTCCAGACGTGAAGATAGCCGATACAACATTTCTACCTACCACACCAGCCATCCTCAACCTGCCGGCCTGCATGTTGCTTCTTCACGCCTCTTTTAAAGGATCCCAGGTTGTAAGAGGGAGGGAACACGTGAGATAGCATTCCATTTACGGATAGTGCGACAGAGAAATGAGTCACCAAATTTCTTTGTACGCGTTGAAATTGTGGCCACAATTAGACGGTGACAACGTAGGCCAGCGCGCGTGGTCCTCTGAAGGAAAGGAGAAGGTGGGATAAGAGAGAATAACTCCTCAGAACACTCGCCGTGGTACAGACGATAGAACGCGCTTAGTGAAGCCACGTCACGGCGCAATTGAAGAGGCTCAAGGTGTTTAGTCTAGGGATGTCGAAAGTTGAAAAAAATATCGATATATCGATACATCGATATTTTAAAAAATATCAATATCGGCTTCGATATATCGCGAATAAACATCGATATATCGGACCAATTTTCCCAAAAATATCGTACACGAACGTACGAGCTCACGAAATATGACACGCGGAATAATAATGGAACGAAAATTTCCTCCCTAAAAATAGACCATATTTTCGAATGATGATATAGACAATACTAAATACAGCACAGATCATAGATATGTTGAATATCATTAATCTGAGATCCAGTTACGATTTTTCCAGATACGAATTTAGTTAGATCGTGATATGCCGCTAATAATTAAAAAAAATAACGTTTTTGATACGAATTTCGATATTGGTTATTTTGTATCGATGTATCGATATATCGAACAAAAAATATCGATATATCGATACATCGATATATTTTCAACAAGCCTAGTTTAGTCACCTCCTCATCGCCTATGGTGCGGAAAAACAAAATATAATGCTGATGATAATTTACTCACATCAGTGATGGGCTCCCCGCAGCCGTGACAGCGCGGGCTGTGGTGCTTCGTAAAGCAGGGTACGCAGCGCACTCCGCCGTCATGCTGGTGGAACTTGGCGCCGTCGATGGGCTTGTGGCACGTGTGGCACGTGAAGTGCTCCGGGTGCCACTTCTTATCCAAGGCTTTCACGATCTGTGGAAGGATAGGATGTTAGGCTAGCGCTTTTGCCATGTTTCATCATCATCATCAGTCTATTAATGTCCCCACTGCTGGGGCACAGGCCTTCCCTACGGATGGATTAGGGAGATTGGGCCATGCAGCCGGGACCAACGGCTTAACGTGCCTTCCGAAGCACGGAGGAGCTCGAGTTAGTAAATTTTTGGTCGCCCATCCAATGACCGACCACTGCGAAAGTTGCTCAACTGCAACGACCGCAGCCGAACGCGCTTACCACTCCATCCATGCATATTGAGCTCCTCATGTTTACAAATAACATAAAATCGCTTTCAAGATCTCTGAAAGGATAGGATCTTGGGTTAGCAGTTCACATGGATTTCGTAGAATAAATTCTATTTATCAAGTTTATAAACAGCAAACAGGGATAGCCATGTGAACCAGACTTTGTAGCGTATATCCTTTGCAGCTCTTAACAGAGCTACCAATTCACAAAATAGGCTTCATGCCATATAACAGCAACCCAAAAATATTTACACTAACCGCCTTATTTATTTATTTATATATTCTTAATGCACAAGTGTACAAAGGCGGACTTAATGCCATAGGAATTTTCTACCAGTCAACCATAGGGTGTTGTGGATAAATAGTGGTAAGGTGCGCAACTTACATGGAAATTACAGAAAGACGAACATATATAAACATGAAGCAGTCATATATATATCTTTATATATATAATTCTTCTGTGAGTGTGTATGTCACTGAACTTCTCTTAAACGACTGGACCGATTTTGATGAATTTTTTTGTGTGTGTTCAAGGGGATCTGAGAATGGTTTAGATTCACAATTTTGTCCGCTGGACAATGTGTTTTTAATTAAATTTTTTATGGCGGTACGAAGTTCGCTGGGTCAGCTAGTATATATATATATAATCACACATACATAAATAATTACTTACATATAAGTAACTATACATATACATACATACATATATAAATATACATACTAATACATAATAATGACGACTAACATTTAAGCTAGACTGCTTGATTCCTGTAAAAAGCTTCGTAGCTTGGTTATTATTAATAAGCGAGGAATTACCTTTCACTAGTTACGCCGTATTTTATTCAAGTCACTCACAAGTCATTTGTCATTCATTGGACAAAGACAAAACATGGATTAACTAATCCAAGCTTAATGGTCATTTATTAATAAGGGGGTAAAAGTTTAAGTCAAAAACCCCGCATAATTTTCAAGATTCAGTGTTACATAAAAATGTATTCATCCCATATGTAGTGGATTAAAAAGAAAGAAGTTCTTGTAACGTCTATCAATTTGAAAAAAGCTTTTTTTTGTCTTCGAAGGCAGACGACAACGGCTTGGTAAGGATTCTTTAAAAAAAACTAGAAATAATCGTAGAAATTATGCCCCTAAAAATCCCATCCTTCTTATATATTCTTAAAGTTTGTTCGTTGTTTTCGCAAATTCTTTTCCACATCCAAAAGTATTGATATGGTGGTACTTAAAAAGATATTGAACTTTCTTATACATTTTTTTAATCAGGTACATTATCAGCAAATAGTGAAACATAAGCCCTAAGTGTTGAATAGAGTGCACAGCATAACACCTTTATTTTATTTTATTTGTAAAGGTACATTAAACAGCCAAAAGCCAGCAAAAATGTACACAGCTGAATAACTTAAGTAAACCTTAGTTACCAAAAAGAAAACATATAAAGAAAAAAACATTGATGAAATAGTCTTCAATCAGGTGATGAAACAAAGCGGGCGAAAGAAATGAAAACTTGATATTATTACCCGAGAAAAATCACTAATTGGGTACGAGTCTAAAATACATTCATGTATATGCAATCAACTAAAATGAAATAAAAACATGCATAAAATAAACAATAAATATGTATATGTATATATATTTAAAAATTATATAAAACTAGTTTTTACGGGTTAATGCACGAAACTTTATTTATTTATTGACGTTTCGCAGCCTTTTCAGGTCTGCATCATTATTCTGACGATGCAGACCTGAAAAGGCTGCGAAACGAAATGAGTGATGTGCGTGAAAACCTAAGAAACAAATATTAAAAATTATATTTAAAAATTACCAGGGTATTTGTTATTTATTTATTTGGGGACGGGGGGGGCATGGGGGTAAAGTGTCAACCTCAAATCATTTTTAAATTTCTGTTTTGAGCCAAAAATTCCTAATGTGTTAAGTAATGTAGAGCGAATCATCCTTGTTGACACATCAACAGTTACTATACTGAACCAACTATAAATACGGCAGAAACATCAAGTGTTAATCTCTCGAGCAGTGCTAAATAATTTGCCATCGTGTCACACTTCTGATAAAGTGTCTGTAGGTACGTGTCTCGATACTGCCTTACCGAGTCACGTAGGCAAGGATATTGTTTATAATTAAGCGTTTCTGTTTTGTTTAATTAATTTTGTGTTATAAATAATGATGATAAATTTGGACAACACAAAACAGCAATGGCACGTAAAATATAAGTGCCATCAGTCCTTAAGTCCTAAGCAGGATCGCAACCATGACTTATTTAGCAGAAGGCTAGATCGCATTTTGTCCTTCTCGTATGTTTTTTTTTCTTTTCATCTTCCACGCTAACTCTGAACATATTATTCGTTTATAAAACACTTGATTTGTAACCACAAAATGGTATAAAATATTATTTATTACACTTTCATCATCATCATCATCATCAGCCTATTAATGTCCCCACTGCTGGGGCAAAGGTCTTCACTATGGATGGAATAGGGAGATCAGGCCATAACCCACTACGCGGGCCCAGTGCAGATTGGCGGGTGCTAACGACTGAAGATGCAGCCGGGACCAACGGCTTAACGTGCCTTCCGAAGCACGGAGGAACTCGAGTTAGTAAATTTTTGGTCACCCATCCCTTGACCGACCACTGCGAAAGTTGCTTAACTTCAACGATCGCAGCCGAACGCGCTGACCAATTGCGCGATCGAGCTCCTCTCTCTCTCCCTTATTACGCTTTATAACTATGTTAATTGTAGCTAAATTGGTATTTCTACAGATTTCATTTAACACAAAACTAAAAAAAAACATCACATACATACAACATAATAGGGCCGTGGTAGCATAATGGTCAGTGCATTCGCCCGGATTGCGAAGGATGCGGGTTCGAGTCCCGTCCGCTGCCTGGTCCGCGTGGATTTTTTTCTAGTAAACTTTTCTTTAGATTTAAACATCTAGCAGTTAAATGCTTAAAAATAAATAAAATCATAACTATAATTGCTATTTCTTCTTTCAAATGTTTAATACTTGAAAAAGTATTCATTTGACATTGTGGGTTACCTACAATGCGAAGAGATGGCGCTGCCTTGCAGCTTAACGCTAGGAAAATTTCGACGCGGCTAATAGGGCCGTGGTAGCATAATGGTCAGTGCATTCGCCCGGATTGCGAAGGATGCGGGTGCGAGTCCCGTCCGCTGCCTGGTCCGCGTGGATTTTTTTTCTAGTAAACTTTTCTTTAGATTTAAACATCTAGCAGTTAAATGCTTAAAAATAAATAAAATCATAACTATAATTGCTATTTCTTCTTTCAAATGTTTAATACTTGAAAAAGTATTCATTTGACATTGTGGGTTACCTACAATGCGAAGAGATGGCGCTGCCTTGCAGCTTAACGCTAGGAAAATTTCGACGCGGCTAATAGGGCCGTGGTAGCATAATGGTCAGTGCATTCGCCCGGATTGCGAAGGATGCGGGTGCGAGTCCCGTCCGCTGCCTGGTCCGCGTGGATTTTTTTTCTAATAAACTTTTCTTTAGATTTAAACATCTAGCAGTTAAATGCTTAAAAATAAATAAAATCTTAAAAAAAACAGTCTAATGAAATACTGTTCGGAGATGATGATGCGTGTTTTATAGAAAAAAGTGATATGATCTTTATAAGGAGTGTGTGACCTTATTTCTAGTAGGCTTGTTTCGTCTGTCCTCTCTGTGTAGCATGTGTCTGCCCATTTGTGTACAGAGGTTGAATGCTTGCAATGCCCATCGCTATGCGACGCCCCACAGTGTATTCTTTATAGCTAACTTATTCTTGTACAAGGCAGAAAACGAACGCAAATCGTGACTCTAATAGTTGTGTCGCGCGATTCAATAAAAATACAGTCAAAACTTTCAATTTAAAGACATCGTTTATATCGATGTGTCGGTTATTACGACCAATAGGCAAGGTCCCGACCGAAACCCTATATAAATCCTTAAGGAAACATACCGTCTATAACAACACCGGATATAGCGAAATACCGCTTAAAATACAGTCTAAACCTAATATAACGACATCGTTTATACCGATGTGTCGGTTATTACGACCAATTGGCAAGGTCCCGACCGAAACCCTATATAAATCCTTAAGGAAACATACCGTCTATAACAACACCGGATATAGCGAAATACCGCTTAAAAATACAGTCAAAACCTAATATAACGACATCGTTTATATCGATGTGTCGGTTATTACGACCAATTGGCAAGCTCCCGACCGAAACCCTATATAAATCCTTAAGGAAACATACCGTCTATAACAACACCGGATATAGCGAAATACCGCTTAAAATACAGTCAAAACCTAATATAACGACATCGTTTATACCGATGTGTCGGTTATTATGACCAATTGCCAAGGTCCCGACCGAAACCCTATATAAATCCTTAAGGAAACATACCGTCTATAACAACACCGGATATAGCGAAATACAGCTTAAAACAACTTATAACCAATGAATAATTATGAAGTTCATCGGTTATAATGACCAAGCGTTTTACTTGTTGCAGCAAAACAAAATATGCTGTAGGTACTTAATTTTTTTCATAGTAAACTTATTACTTCTTTTCTCGATATTTTATTTGAAAACAAGCTTATATTCGTTATCTATAACCATACTACATACATACATTATGATAATAATATGACTAGTTTTTTATATTGCTTATAACAACCGTCGGACATAACGTCCGAAGTTATGTGGTCCCTTCAATGTCGTTATATCCGGATTCGACTAACTTAAGATTTTCCCAAAATTATAGATTTGGATTCATTTTTACCCCTTCCAAGTTTCATGTTTGTGGTGTTTTGTAAAATTTTTACTGCATGTAGGCAACGTTTTAAATAGATAAACGTGAGAATCCAATGTCAAGGCGTGAACGATGCTATTTTCAACTGACACACTGAGGACGAAACAATTAGAAAGACACCAATTCTGTCTCATAATCTTGACTGCTGAAGTAACGACCGCGAATGATGTGTGGAATCAGATGTGGCGTCATACAATATACCTACGTTCGATGCAACTCTTGTTTACTGAAACGCGCATTCAAGAACTAGGACACTACATTTGGCAAAAGCTGCCTGTCTGTCATGCTGAAAACTGTAGGAGTTATTAGAACCATTAAAATGCTTTCGGATTTCGTCGTGACAAATAAGCTCGCTATCCCTTTTGTATCTCAAAATTTGTTATTGTGTATGGACATAGTTTTGAGCGGTAACACGATTTATTTTTGGTATTGTAGTTCATCACTGACTGACTGACTGCCTGTAATTATATACCTCTTTAGGAAATGGGAGATATTGCCCTAGAAAAAAAACCGTTCTGTAGTTAGAGCTTGGATTAAATAGTTTACTGCAAAATATATCGTATCGATTACGGCCGTTACATTTATTTCTATAGCATTAAGATTAAAATTTGATTTGCTCTCTTATTGCAATGTATGTTTTTTGGATATTATCAATTTATCATATTAATGCTAATTGATTTCACAAAATGCTTCCAATTATGCTTTAAGGTCGACTTTGTCATCGTTCTAAATTCGTGTAAAAGCTCAAAAACTATATTCATCGCACATAAACAATTAATTATTTATAAACGACCTCCCTAGCATAGAGGACGATTGCGGCGTAGAAGTCGTATCTCTGAATTCTCAGATTCGATTCCCGGCTGAGTAAATGTACAAATTTTAATCTCAGTTTGAGTCATTGTGGTATTTTCGATGAGTCTGATATAATCTGTTTACAAGTGCTCTAGTAACATTCTATTAGAATCAGGGAATGTGATTTTATCTAATAATTCTGTTACTGATTTCATTTAGATGCTAACGCCTTGTTCGAATCTAATGTTAAATTGTGCTAGAATTGTTCTTATAGTTGTCACAGACTTTTTTAAATTTTATTTTTACATAAAAATTAAAACGTTTGCAAGCTTATTCTACTAAATAAAATTTGCAAACTTCGTTAATCCAAAGTTCTCTGTTATATCTACAGGATTTATTGAACATATCTATCTGACCAAGCATCAATCAACTCTTATCATATCAAAAACAAATTGATAAAATTTTAATTTAAATAAATTACGTGTCACGTGTTTGTCCGGGATGGACTCTTAAATTACTTAACCGATTTTAATCAATTTTGCACACCGTGTCCAGTTTGATCCAACTTGAAAGATAGGATAGCTTACATCTCACTTCATAGTCGCAATATATGGAAAAAAAATTGTAAGCGGTACGAAGTTCGCCGGGTCAGCTAGTATATTATATAGAAGCCGCGACTTAAACATTGAAAAAAAAAAACAGTTATTTATTGCTAGTTTTTAACGGGTTAATGCACGAAACTTTATTTATTTATTGACGTTTCGCAGACGCAACAACAAAACTCGACAAAATTAAATAACAAATCAGTAATCTGACGATGCAGACCTGAAAAGGCAGCGAAACGTCAATAAATCAATAAATAAAGTTTCGTGCATTAACCCGTTGAAAACTAGTTTTATTTAATGAGTGATGTGCTTGAAAACCTAAGAAACAAATAAGTTATTTATTGCGTTATTAACACTGATTACGATAACAAGTTAATTTGTGCACTCGGCACTCTATTGGGCTCGACTAAACCGATAGCTATTTCATAAATATACATTAATCAATCGTTGATAAACGATACGAATGTAGATATCGTTAAATGTGTTGATGACGCATCGGCGTTATCAACGCTTGTTGTTATGTTTGTTTGCTCTGCTAACTGTACTACTTGCACGCCTACCCGGTTTCGGGCTAAAGATAATAATAATAATAAGTATTTATTTGCTCCAAAAAATACATAATAACAAATACAAAAACTTAAAACCTGACATACCAACTTTTTGGGAACAAAAAGGGAATGTGACTCAGCCTTAGACCGCCGTTTTATCGGAAGTCGCTGATATTCTGCCACAACCTTATTTAACTAAAACATGCACCATTTTGTGACCAACAAGTAAAACTTTGAAAATCGATTATAAAAAATTAATTCATTCATTATTAAATATCTAAATTAAATACAGTTTTGGCCGCAGTATACTGTTTATCTAATAACCACAATTTACATTTATTTTGAAAATTATATGTTGACATTGAAATATTATTCTGCAAAGGTGGTGGGAGATCATTCCATATCTTTGATGCGGCATATACAAAGCAACCCCTAGTTAAAATATTTTTGCATTTTGGTAGTGATAGGAAAAGCCCAAGGTCTCTCAAATTTGAACGACGTTTCTTCCATTGAAGTTTTTTCAGATTGCTGAATTCGAGGAAGTACATTGCTGAATTCGAGGGTAATACTCTTCTAGAGGAGCTCGATGGCGCAAGTGGTTAGTGCATTCGGCTGCGATCGTTGAAGTTAAACAGTGATCGGTCATTGGATGGGTGACCAAAAATTTACTATGTCAAGCTCCTCCGTGCTTCAAAAGGCTCGTTAAGCCGTTGGTCCCGGCTACATCTGCAGTCGTTAGCACCTACCAATCCGCATTGGGCCCGCGTGGTGGGTAATAGCCCAATTCCCCTATTCCATCCATAGGGAAGGCCTGTACCCCAGCAGTGGGGACATTAATAGGCTGATGATGATGATTCTTGTCAGGTTCGATCCATTTTTGTTAATTTTTCTCCCGCTTTTGAGGTGGTGTGAAATGTAACTTAGTAGTATTTTTTTTGTTTCCAGTTATAATTATTATTATTGTTTTTGTAATGCTAAACATGTAGTTCGTATTTGTATTGTCAAAAATCTGTTAGAAAAAGTTTTATACTCACTCTGCCTGAGATGACTGCATTGCAGCTACTGCAGATTGCTGGTCCATCATCTTTGGTCGACTAAAACAAAAAGACATTGTTAGGTTTTATTTCTTTCTCTTTTGATAAAAATGGCAGTTTTTCTTCATAAAAACAGAAAATAATAAATTTAGTACACAAATGAAATATATCTTTAGATCATATATCTAAAATATTTTCAGTAAATTAAATTAATTAAATTAAGAAAATTATAATAATTAATAGAGATACTTGGCATTTGTTCATGAATACTTCGGCTAGATAAAAAGATTTTTTTTACAAAGGACAAAAAGAAAATTAGGTTTCTTGATTTACGACACTACTTGATTTGTTTTTAAAAATTTTGTATGACCTCCTAACAATTAGACTTTATCATATCGTTCTTTAAATTTTCTATTGACTCAGTTTTCGTGTTCATTCGTAATAGATTAATTAATATACGTAAGGTTAAGGTCACTCGAATCAGATAACAGTGAGTGTTAGACACACTATGTTTCCTAAATCGACTCCCACGTTTGCACACGTTGACTGCGCCCACCTCTTCCTGTCGTTCCAGGTGATTGTGAAACATACTCTAAATAATATAAGCATTATTTTTAAGTATCATCAAGAGTGACATAACGCTGACCTAAATTCGAACGAGTTGTAATTACCCCGATCTTCCTATTTGCTATCATTTGTCAATATATTTGTATATTTATTTGGGGTTTTTATCCGCTAGGTTCATCATAACCTTACCTATTTTTTTTAATATTGCGCTATAATCGGAGCGACGAATCAATGGTGCAAAAATTTTTTGGAATCGCTTAGCAATGTGTTGCTCAAATTCACTTACACCTATCATATTTTCATATTATGCTTTATAAGTGAATACCACGCTCGCATATTTTTACTTTGTATAATAGCGATTATTCTGACCACTTTCAGTTTGTTTCCGTGCTGTCACAATCACAGGAAAGTGAAATAATTTAACATTTCCCAAGTTCTGAGATGTTGTTGTAAACAAAACGAAACTGCAGTATGAGATTATTTAAACTTTGTGGCCTAAAGATGACCCTGGGATTGTATCAGATGCATTCGGTCTTGTCAATTCTAAGTAGTATAGATTGCTTCGTTTAAAACATTAGTCACACTAATAAAATACCAGCGTGTATGATATTCATTCCAGTCGTAGCGTTTATTAAACTGTTATGGCTTCTTTATCAACCGCTACGAATACAATATATTTAGATGATTCGTTAAAACGTAAAGATGACAACATCTCATCAGTTTTTTAGTTCGGTGTCTAGGTAGACGGTTCTTGTTCAAACTATAATGCTGTATGGTACCTGTGGCCACAGGTATCAAACTTTAAATACAAATTAACTATTGTGAGCCTTCCTTCATTGAAAAATTAACTGGATGTTTGAAATGCATAATTAAGTAATTTACTTGTGAACGCTCATTTTAAGCATTTATTTTATTCATTATCAGGAGTAAATATTTATGTCCCGTTTGTTTAATTATTCAATTATGATTTGAATTTGTTGTTTTCAACATTATTATTTTGAATATAGCTTTGGTTATTTTTTCCTCATTACCATATCAAATCTAATTATATAAAAAAATACTTTCGGCGTCATTATCAAATCGTTTTATATATAAAAAAACTAACGGCCCGCCTCGCTTTGCTTCGGTGTAGAGCTGAAGTGTAGACTACAGTTTTTGTTCTCAGGCTTGTATTATACACAATGACATTCATCTACGATTCTTCTTATACCTGCATGCAAAGTCTCAGCCCGATCGGTTTAAAATTGACAAAGTTTCATACAAACTTTCATTCCCTATTTTATCCTCTTGCGGGTAGAATTGATCAAAATCCTTTCTTAGCAGATGCCTGGGTCATAACATCTACCTGCATGCCAAATTTCAGCCCGATCCGTTCAGAGGTTTGGGCTGTGCGTTGATAGATCACTATGTCAGTCAGTCACCTTCGAGTTTTATATATATATATATATATATATATATATATATAGATGTAACGAGGAAAATTATAAATATGATATTCAAACTATTTTTGTGTTATGTATTATTGTTTTCCGTGAAAATAATTCATTAAATTATGATGTCATGCATTTGTAACTGACAGGTGTACTTGTACCGCTTTATCGATGTACGATTTGCATACAAGTGAAGGTCTTTCAGATTAGATTATGATACTTTCGGACATTGCATTATTAAACGATACTAAATCCATATCGTTTACATTAACACTAGTGGATTTCCATTAAATATTAAACCCTTCATCACACATTTAAAAAAAAATCGGCAATTAGAAGCCTATGTCCTTTTCGGGGGTCCCTCAAATTCATTCATTCAGATTTGATTAAAAAAGTTTGGAGTCAAAGTCAAACAGACAGACTTACTTTTCAATTTATAATATTAGTATGGATTGTACTATGCCACAATATAAAATTAATTTAATTAGGTTGGTAATTTGTTCTATTTATATTAATGTAAATTTAAATAAAATATTATGCTATTAATGGACCCACGGAGGAGCTTGATGGCGCAAGTGGTTAGCGCGTTCGGCTGCGATCGTTGAAGTTAAGCAACTTTCGTAGTGGTCGTTCATTGGATGGGTGATCAAAAATTTACTATCTCGAACTCCTCCGTGCTTCGCAAGGCACGTTAAGCCGTTGGTCCCGGCTGCATCTGCGGTCCTTAGTACCCACCAATCCGCACTGGGCCCGCGCGGTGGGTCATGACCCAATCTCCCTATTCCATCCATAGGCTGATGATGATGAATGGAACCACTTATTTTTGAATAAGGTTTTATATCAATCAAATTTAGAAAATAATAAAATCAAAAGTGACAATAGCCTGTATACGAAGACCGAGTATAAACTACGAGACAATAAGGCGCCCTGGAAACCAGGTGGAAGCAGCATATGACCACCAAACAAACAGTTGGAAGCCAAAACAATCGCTGCACTTGCCAAACATGGCGAGGAAAGTAAGTCGTACATAGTAAGCCACGCAACTGTGCCACTTAGTCATATTCGGATGTTTATATGCGACGCGTGAGCATATTGTTGGAGTTGAAGTCACAAGCAGATAGCGATTTAGTTACTCTTAAGCGATGAAGTATGTGAAAATTGTATTTAACAACCAAACACTAGAAAAAAATAGCACTTATGTACAGATGATATTGTAAACAGAATCCCATAAAAATCCTACTAAAATTATAAATGTGAAAATTTTCTGTTTGTTTCTCAATCACGCAAAAAGTAGTGGAATTACCGCGATAAAATTATGTACTCAAATAGTTATAACTTTTATTTTTTAAGCATGTAACTGCCCATGTTTAAATCTAAAGATTGCTATTTCTTCTATCAAATGTTTAATACTTGGAAAGGTATTCATTTGACATCGTGGGTTACTTTTAATGCGAAGAAATGGCGCTGTGATTTTAAGAAAGGCTAGAAGGCATTAGACACGGTCAGGGCCGCGGTAGCATAGTGGTCAGTGCATTCGCCCGGATAGCGAAGGGTGCGGGTTCTAACCCCGTCTGCTGCCTGGTCCGCGTGAAATTTTTTCTAGTAATATTTTTTTTATACTCATATAGTTATTGACCTGGATTGAGATTGAGACATAGAATACTTTTTATCCCAGAATGTTAGGTTCTTGTGAGATTCTCAAAAAAATAAAAGCGGACAAAATGGAATGAGAGACATTAAAATATTTTAAAAGGCACTTTATTTATAAGCTAATTGGTCTGATTATTCTAATTAAGTTTTCTGAATTCCTAATTTTACAAGTATTAAAAAGTATACTCTTATTTTATCTGAAAAAAAAATTATACTGAAGATAATTAATAGTCATGTTTTATTTCAGCTCTTTTAAAGAAAAGTAGTACATATATTGAGTATTTGTTTTTATTTAATAAAATTTTTATCCGATAAAAGTCAGACTTTTATCGAATTTGAATGATAATTAAATTCAACTTATATTTAATTACACTCTATATGTATAATTTCAAAAATTCAATTCAAAAGCAAACATTTATAGCTTTTGGTTAGGACAATAACTTGTAGATCTACTAAGTTTTGGATTAAAATTGTATTGAGTGTTTGTCAACCACCATAATTTCCTTATTCGCTTATCGCTTATACCTTGGACTCGTCTAATTGTTACTGATACTCATTTAGTACGCACAGCAAGGTCAAGGCGACTGGGAATTGCTGTTCTTATTTTGAGGCGGTTCAATAGTTTTAAGGCTAATAATCATTAGCTTTGTCATCATAACGTACTTAAGGCTGGGTATTAATTGTCTACCGGAAAGTTAGTATTACCATAAACATCATTATTAGTAATCAAATGCTAATTTCTTATTAATTATCTACTTAATTTGTTTCCTATAACTTGGATGCCAGAATTTGTTTGCGCTTCTCGATTTGACTGAAATTTTCATTATTATTTGACTGTCTAATGCCCTATTAAAATGGAGTCTATACAATATTACAATTTTTTCCGGAAATTTTTATGATTAAAAATGTCGACTTCATTATCTTTTCCAGTATTATCAAAATCTTCTTTTACTACAGATAATATTGTTATATCTGCACACCCATTCCTAATATTCATAATCTTTGTCCCTTAAGTAATTAAAATTGAATTAATAAATCCTGCAATCACAAAAACGGAGTAGCTCAAACAATATTTACTCAGATTATGACTTTAGCAATATTTGAATACAACATGTGAAATTTTTGTGAGACGCTGATGGACAGACGATATAGATGCCGACTGACAATACACCGCTGTCGTAAATGTGTCAACAAAGTCATCATCTACTTATTCAATTCGAACCATCAAAATGTGTCATCAAATGAAGACCTTTGGCATAAAAATATTCCTACCAGTGTAGGATGATAGAAATATTTTTGTCAAATGTAATATTTCCAATTGATGTCAATACGTATCAATTGATCCCATTGGGATGATATCATCTAGTATTATCCATCTGTACAGTTATATTTTGATACTAAGCACAATGAACC